AAATATGACATTAAAAAATAAAAATATAATATTTAAATAAGAATATTAATTAATATAAAAATATTTTAATTAAGATTATTTATTAATACTAAAAGATTTATATTTAATTTGTTTATATTTTTTAAATTAATATTTATTAAATAATAATACAATTTTTAATTTTTTAAAAAACTTTTGCAAAAAAGTTTGTGCCACCCTGTAAATATAAATAAAAAAATTTTTTTTTGATTTGAAAATTACTTATATAGATATTACTTGATAAAGCAAAAAGTTTATTTGAAAAGATTTCTAATTCTTTCTAAAGTATTTATTCCTTTATGAAAAATTAATTGATTCCTTATATTTTGTAGTAAATGAAAATATATTCTTTTTTTAGTAAAAGGTTCTTGCAGATTGTTTACTATTTACTGTTCATGTCATTACCAAAAAAAAATTTTTTTTATGAATTGAAATATTGTAAAAAAGAGTTTTTTTGTTAATACAATAAATTAAAATTAGTTTATTTATAATAATCATATAATTAATATTGAAAAAAAATTTTAAAACAATATATTTTGTTATATAATTTTGAATTATTATAACAAAAATTAATTTTATTTATTTTATATTGAATTTTATAATGAATCAAATAAAAATTATTAATTATTGTATTATATAATTAAATTTAAATTATTAATAAAAATTTCTATATTATATCAAATATCAAATAACAATAAATTTAATTTCAATTTGATAATTAAATGATACAATTTGAATTAATATAAACCAATTTATTATTATTATTTTTAAGAAATTTTAATATTTATATATGCATTATTTGAAATAAAATAAAAAAAAAAATATTACGTATTTTTAAATTGCAGTCTGATTTGGACAAAATCATATGATATTACAATAATAAATATAACAATAAAAAATAAATAAATAACTTGATTTGAAACCGGATCTCATTTTGAGGTGGTGAATTAGACTCAATTGTGATCATACCATGTGAGTTTCTGCGTAACAATGTCACATTTGTAAACATAATGACGCACACACATTCTGACCATGTATGGGTAGTGCCCCGATTGTTTTTTATTATGTAATAAAAAAAATTGTTACATACAAATGTCATGGCATTTCAATCCAAATAGTACATTCTTTGCTGCAGATAAAAAAATTACATTGAATCTGATATCGTCACACCAAAAACTGATGGAATGTTCTTCTTTCACTTTCCACAACTGCTTCAACATTTCAAATCGATTAAGTGACATTGGCACAACATTACCCGTAACATGTCTATAGTGTAATCTATGGTTTTCTTTGAGTATCCGATGATAAACATGCTGCTTGAGATATTCATCGGAAATGCAAATGGTCTTCAGGAAATTGTACAAACTCACAAATCTCCAATAGAGCGGATGACTCTGATCATTTGGTCGACCAGTCTGAAAGTTGAGAAGGTATGCAGCCGACAAGGCCTCGGCCAACAAATTTATCTCAATTCTATTTGATTTCAACTTTAGTATTCCATTGCGCTCTCCCTGCCAATTGGCCTTTATTTTATACTGAATTGAAACATTAGGAGACCAAAGCCTTGACATTGTAATAGAAATTTTATCTACCTTGTTATTATTATTACCATTTCCAGACAAAAATGAAATACTGTCAATACTAAATCCATGGCGTATTCGAGAAAATATTAACTGTGGGACGTCAACAAGATTTAAAGAATAATCTTTATAATGTGTTGTCATCGGTTTAAAGGAAGGCGGCTGACTTCTCGGATCCCATGGAAAATTAAAAGTGTTGACATTATGCACAGGGTTGTTTCGATCCCGTGAACGATTTTTTTTCGAGAATGTTGTTTCTATAAACAAAATTTTCTTAAAGAAATTGATTTGACGCGATTCGTTTGGTGTATTTGCACTGGATAAATCACTGCGATCCTCCGATAAAATAAAAACTCCGGAAGTTGCAGTGGCAACAAATTGTAATATTTCATTGTCGGGTAGCAATCCAAAATCAACACCAGGATCAAATAATCCCCTACGAGAGCCAACTTGTATTATATTGCATCTTATGCCCTCCTTACATAATTTTTGGATTATGTCATCACCTGCCAACATGTGCGCAAGATTTGATTTGACAACACCATCTGTGATGACAATCAATGAAGGAAAACCGTCATTAGAGGAAAGTCCATTGTTGGAAAATAATCTTTCAGCGAACAGCCCCACATTAAGACTAAAGGCGACATTAGCACCGCTCAAACCCAATTTCCACATATTTTTTTCATCGAATTTGGGAGTAGACTCTGAATCGTCATCAGTCTTTGTTCCCATATCCATCACATATTCTGGTGAATATTCCTTACGAAGCTGTTGTCGGAATTTCGTGACTTCTTGCAGAAAATTCTTGACCTCTAATTCTATATTGGACATAATATCACATACATTTTGATTATCCATCAAGACACCTTGTAATAGAACTTTCATTAATGGGAAGTTTTTCAATAAAGGCACCATATTTGCATTTGAAGCAAAATTAGAGCATTCAGCAATTATTGTCACAAATATTTCGGGTTCGAACTATTCAAAAAAATCAATCATGAGAACGAAGGACGTTGAACAACAAGCGTATATATCATTCAAAAAACATACCCGAAGTGTATTGTTACCATCCAAAACCGACAATTCAAAGGATTGAACAAGACCGAGAAGACACTCGCGTAACCTATGAGAT